GTTCCTGTAAGCCCCGTGACTGCGCAGCATTTGTGGGGGTGGTGGGTGGGAGAATCCAGTAAGGCGGACAGGCCCTCTCCACTGAGCTGAGCCTCTGGTGTAGCACAGACCCTCCCAGGTGGGGTCTAGAGATGGGCCCAGCCACCCCTCGGGCCCCTGATGACGGACCCTGGGGCCTGGGCAGGTCAGGTTTGGGGGCTGCCTCTTTAAGGCTGAACTATCAGCAGGCAACCTCTGCTGGCTGGGCCCAGTGTCCAAGGGAGGGGGAGGGGAGCTGGTCAGTCCATTAGCGGCAGTGCTGGCGCCAGGCGCCAGCCCTTCACAGGGCCCTGGGGATTAGGGGGCGATCAGCCCTTCCCCAGTCCCCTCTGCCTCAGCCCTCCTGCCTGCCCCTGCCCCATTTCTCTCTGGATGTGGTGCAGGAGGGGGTCGCTGATGGCAGGTGCAGGTATAGCAGGGCTTTCAGTGAAGGCCCAAATTCCGGGCCCAAGCCAGGCCAAGTCTCACCTCCGCCTGGCCCCCTTTCTTCTCATGTCCCCAAGCCTGTCCTTAACCTCAGGTCCTTCTATCCCCAGATTTTACCTGCTCTCTCAGGGACCCCAGCCCAAGTCAGTCCCTCCCACCCAGGCTCCAGCTTTGGCTGCCTGCTGGAAGGCACTACCCCCACCTCGGCCTGCCAGTGGCCGCCATCCCTGCTTCCTTCTCTGCCAGCAACAGGGGGAATCAAGAAGGCAGGACGCCAGCCACCCGGGCAGGCAGGGTGCGGCGCTCCTGCTGTTCCGCAGGGGTGGGGCATCCCCCTCCCCACACAGCCCAGCTCCAGCCTACGGTCAGGCCAGTGGGAGGAGCTGCCCGGGCCCCCCCTGAGACCGCAGGGCTATAAAGCCGCGCGGCGGTCCGCGGCTCTGTCCCAGCCCCCGGCCCAGTTCCTGCAAGTGACTGCCCATCCGCGGCTGCCATGAGCCACCACTCGGCGGGCCTCCGGGCCGGCGTCAGCTCCACCTCATACCGCCGCACCTTCGGGCCACCGCCTTCACTGTCCCCCGGTGCCTTCTCCTACTCCTCCAGCTCCCGCTTCTCCAGCAGCCGGCTGCTGGGTTCGGCGTCCCCGAGCTCCTCGGTGCGCCTGGGCAGTTTCCGTGGCCCTCGGGCGGGCGCGGGCGCCCTCCTGCGCCTGCCCTCGGAGCGCCTCGACTTCTCCATGGCCGAGGCCCTCAACCAGGAGTTTCTGGCCACGCGCAGCAACGAGAAGCAGGAGCTGCAGGAGCTCAACGACCGCTTTGCCAACTTCATTGAGAAGGTGCGCTTCCTGGAGCAGCAGAACGCGGCCCTGCGCGGGGAGCTGAGCCAGGCCCGGGGCCAGGAGCCGGCGCGCGGCGACCAGCTGT